CATTGGGTCCTCTGCTCAGCGGGGAGTCTGCTTGTCCCTCTCCCTCTGCCACTCCCCCCCACTTGTGCATGCTCTCTCTCTCTTTCTCTTTCAAATAAATAAATAAATAAATAAATAAAATCTTTAAAAAAAAAAAAAAAAAGAACTCAAGACCCCAAGAGGGCCATGAAGAGCTGAGCAGGCCTGTCCTGGAGGAACTGAGGAAGAGGGCAAGGAACCAAACCAGGTATTGAGGTCAAAGAAAAACAGAACATGTTTGAAGATCTGAAGACCTGGTGGAGGCGGGGTTACTGAGATGAGTAGCCATGGAGAGGCTGGGGCCAGCCTGGCCTGCAGCGAGGACGATGTCAGCATTGATGGTGGCTGGGCCACACCCACAGGGAGAGGCTCAGGGGACTGAAGGGCTCAGGTACCAGGGAGTCGCTACTGGACCACAGTCGTGAGTTTCTGCCAGAACATAAAAGACTTCCATATGAGTCCATCACCAAACCCAACTTTAGTATCTTTATTCACTATCTTTGTATCTCTTCCTTTATCCTGGGGTAAATACAGGAAAAGGATGGAAAAGGGCGGGAAGGGGAAGTGGGATAGGGTGAGAATGGAAAAGACTGATGTAAGGGAGATCTTATTGATCATTCACAGTCTTGTCTGCACATTAGAACCACCTGGAGAGCTTTCAGAGCTACATCTGCGTCCAATCCTCAGAGATCCTGATGCTACAGTTCCAATCTCCGGATCAATGCCACTCGAATTTTAATGTGCATTGGAATCACCTGAGCATCTTGTTAAAATGGAGAGTCTGATTTAGAAGGTTTGGTGTGGGGCCTGAAAATCAGCATTTCAACAAGATCCCAAGTGATGCTGATACCACCGGTCTGTGGATCACATTTTCTGTAGCACAATCTAGAGCAGAGCTGCTCTGAGGGTGGTCCCTAGACCACCAGAATCAGTATCGCCTGGGAACTTGAGAGAAATGCAAGTTCTCGGGCCCCACCCCAGACCCACTGAATCGGAAACTGGGGGTGGAGCCCAGTCCCCTGTGCCCGAACACACCTCTGGTGATTCTGACACAGGCTGAAGTTTGAGAACCACGCTTGTAGAGAATCTGACCGGCCAATGGGAAGGGAGCTGATATTCGCTCTAAGGACAAAGTAATGAATTATCATTCAAGTAAGACAGAAACAAAGATCAGGTTTTCTTCTATTTACGTTACAGTTACGAACAAGCATAACCATTATAATAAAATAGTCTCTCTCTCTCTCTCTTTTTTTTTAAATCCCCATATCCTCACAAGTAGTAGAAATTCTTAGGGACATTTTCGAGACGAGCACACTCCCTGCAAAGACCGGGGGAAAGGAAACGTCAAACCGTGGCCTTCCGGGCTGCCCGCGGGGAGGAGTTGCTACGGGCGCCGGAAGGTCAGGCGGCAGCGCCCGGCTCTGGGGCTTGCTGGCCGCTCTGAGGCCACGATGCTGCTGGGGCTCCTGGCCACCAGAGGTGCTGCCCCTGGTAATGTCACTGCTCTGGTGTCACGCTCTGCCTCACAAGTGCGCTACGCCTGGGTGACAGTCAGTAACTGCTCCCAACTGGCCTCCCAGGCTCAGCCTCCTCCAGCAGTGCCCGGTCTGTTCTGCGGGCTCCAGCCCCTGGGGACATCAGTGCCCTCCGTCCCCCACCCCCAGTCCCTCGGAGGCCCCTCCTCGACTCCCTTCAGCCCTGGCGCTGATGTTTTGCATCTTCCCTTGTGTTGTCTGGTAGCTCAGATCACACATCGCAGCCATCTGTCCATCTCTGTCCCCTCCCTTGCGGCCGGTGTTCAACACATGTTGTCTCCCTGGGCAGGAGATGCCAAGGGGAATAAGACACGGTTTGTCTTCAAACCCTGGGAACCAGCCACCTGCCAGGGAACATGCTGGGTGCTATGAGAGAGATTCACACAAAGCCTCGCGCCGCGGCCCGTGCACACTCGGCTCTCCTGGTCCGCCTGGCACTTTTTAGCCCTTATTTACACAGGCGTCCGTTATTCTTTAAAAAGTGTGGGTTGTTTCCCTAAGAAGGGGACAGGTAGAGTCTGTCTCTGTCACTTCCTTATAGCTTACGCAGAGCACGGGACACGCTGAGCGCCAGGCCACCAAGCATGGACAGACGCTCCCGCGCTCCCAGGACAGGATGCTGACTTCGGAAGGCGGCTCAGAGCCGATCCCATCTACGTAATATTTAAGAATTCAGAATCTTCAGCAAGTTGGCTCACAGGGCGCCTGGGTGGTTCAGTCGGTTGGGCATCTGACTTCAGCTCAGGTCATGATCTCAGGGTCCTGGGATCGAGCCCCGCATCGGGCTCCCTGCTCCGAGGGAAGCCTGCTTCTCCCTCTCCCTCTGCTGCTCCCCCTGCTCCTGCTCTCTCTCTGTGTCAAATAAATACATTTTTAAAAAAAAGTTGGCTCACAATGAAAAACTGCCTTGCATCTATGTTTAAGGAAAGTCTTTTCAAAGCTCCCCTTAAAACACTCGACCTGCACAACCATGAACACTTATGTCCCCAACGCTTTCACATGCTGGTGAGTGTTACTGTTACAGGAGTAGAAATGGTCAGGAGGGGATGTGTTCAAACATTAAACATGTTGCCCTCTCATGTCCCATTGAGGGCTTGTGCAGGGGACTCTAGGTTCCCAGGAGGTGTTGTGCAATAGCTTCTTTGAATATTTCCTCAGAAGTGGAAATGTCACATATGGAAAAGGGAGGAATGTATGTCTCTGTGAGTAACACCACCGTGATATTCTGCATGCCCATCTGATGTAGGTGATTTTATTACCCTGTGAGCGAAATCTGGGGGTTAGTCTGGATGACACGATTACACATTTCAAACAAGATAGTGCCATTAGAAAGGAGATTGACTTGGATGCCATGACATGGACTTATCTTTCTAGCATGTTCGGTCATACACTTAGCCTTCGCTTGGTAAATATTTGCCATGTGAATGAATGAAACACAAACCCTTCCCCAAGGCTGATGCCTCACCTAACAAAAGCATTTTGGTCTGCAGACAGCAGAGAGGGTTTAAGAGAACCTTGCAGGGACGCCAGCACGTGGAGGGTGTGGGGAGTGGCCCTGGGGAACAGCCTTGATGACACCACCCCTGGGGAGAGGGAGGGGGGCCCAGGACCGAAAACCACACTCTCCAATGATCCCTGACCAGCCATCCTGGGTCTTCTGAGGAATCCCCCTCTTGTTACAGAAGGACGCTTTCTGCTGGGGTAGAGAACAATTTTAGATCTGAGAACAATTTTTCAAATATTCTTGACCACGACCCACAGTAAGAACACATTTTATTTTGTGAACCAGGAAAGACACGGGCTAATAGTTGAAACAAGTTTTACAACATAACAGTTCCCCTTACCACACGTGAAGGCCTGGTTTCTCTATTCTGTTCTTGCCCCACTCCTTCCTGTTACAAAAAAAAAAAAGAGTGACAGAGTCCACTGATTTCACAGTCCATTAATGAGTGAGGCCAGCACTTCAGAAACAACTGCACAGTGACCTGCAGGAGGGATGGGCTTCAGACCCTCCACCTCAGGCACCCAGTGGTGAAGGAAGGGGGACCCTCCCCACTCCCACACACCTGGGAACACACTTAGGTCACAGGGAAGTGGGATATAAATCCCTCTCTTCTGGAATCTCACCGAAAAAGCTCAAAGGACAGGTCTTTGCTTCTATAGCTCTATTACACTTAAGATATCAGTAAGGTTCCTAACCATGACCTTCCATAGGGAACAGGCCTCATCTGACTGCCCCACAGACAAACCCCCACGAGCAGAGACACTGTGCGGCATCAGCTCCAGCACACCCCTACGAAGGGCCACCAAGCCGAGGAGTGGCCGGGGCACAAGGCTGGCACGTCCCCCCTGTGCGAACCCTGCTGGCTCCAACAGGGTTCCTCAGTCCACCAGGTTTCAGAGTTCTTGAGGAGGGAGGATGGGGAGATTGTTCTGGGACAAAAGAAGTCAAGGAAAGCTGGGTGCGACAACTTGGGACCTCTGATGTGGTACGTGCTGTGGTGACTCCACAGAGTCCTTTTTGCAAGTAATCACCAAATACCTGCCATGTACAGTCTGGGGACGGCCGCCCCAAGCAGCCACTATCTGCTTGTCCCTCCACTTGGCAGAGACACAATGCAGACGAAAGACTTCTCTGCTGTCCCAGTTGAGGGCAGGACCAGGGTGTCAGGACCCTTCACGGGGACCTGAAGGCATCACTGTATTTGGTTGGTCAGTGTAAAAGTGACAGACCTTTGTCAGCACGCTGAGTGGACTCTGGATTCACCGTCTGTAGTTTACAACAGAGACTCTGTGCCCTGCCCGCCTGCAGGGGGCGCCATTCTTACAGACGGTGGAGTCAATGCGGCCCTTTGGGGTGCGGGCAGCAGCCCTCTGAAAACAGGTCTGTGTTTTAAACCGTAAAACACAAAACAGGGACAGAGTTGTTGGTCAGAAAGGCGGACACATTCTCTTTCAGCCCTGATTACATCCATTGACTCCTGTGTTTTGCAGTAAGAGCAGCGTCCCATGGCGGGAATGGGTAAGAATCTAAAGACTGGCGCTCAGACTCACACCCACCCTGGGACATCGAAGACTCGATTTCGTCACCAGTAAAACAGGAATGATGGTAATACGTATCCCACCAAGCTGAGGCAAATAAGGCACAATAACGATCTTTATAAATGTCATTAGCAGTCACTTTGCAGGGAAGCCAAGCCCTGCAGTTGCTCCCTGCCCTCAGGCTTCCGTGTCCGGGGCGCTGCCTTGAAGCCATGGCACTGGGCAAGCCCGGGGGGCAGTCTCGGGTACAAGTGGGTGGCAACACCCTTGCTGATGCACAGCAGTTCCAAAAGACGGTATTGTCGGGCGCCTGGGTGGCTCAGTTGGTTAAGCGACTGCCTTCGGCTCAGGTCATGATCCTGGAGTCCCGGGATCGAGTCCCGCATCGGACTCCCTGCTCGGCAGGGAGCCTGCTTCTCCCTCTGCCCCTCCCCCCTCTCATGCTCTCTCTCTCTCTCATTCTCTCTCTCTCAAATAAATAAATAAAATCTTAAAAAAAAAAAAAAGAAATTCTGCAGATTCGGGCGCCTGGGTGGCTCAGTTGGTTAAGCGACAGCCTTCGGCTCAGGTCATGATCCTGGAGTCCCGGAATCGAGTCCCACATCGGGCTCCCTGCTGGGCGGGGAGTCTGCTTCTCCCTCTGACCCTCCTCCCTCTCATGCTCTCTGTCTCTCATTGTCTCTCTCGCAAATAAAGTCTTAAAAAAAAAAAAAATTAAAAAACAAAAAAAGACGGTATTGTCCCTCAACTCTATGATTTGTTCTCAGCCAGGAGTGAGGTGGGACCCCTGAACGTTGGCCTTTACCCACAATTCCCTTCATTTGCTTCTAAAAAATTCTGCTACCTTATGTAGGCATTAAATAATTTCTTGAATAAAAGCTCTAATTATCCTGGGCTCCTTGTATATGCACCATTACATGTATATCCAGAACATGAAAATACAAATACACCCCTGATCTCAGAGGAGACAAGTCTCATGACAGCATCTCTGTATGACTTATTAACCAGAAAATGAGCAATCATATTTCCAAAGTCTAGCAGAACGAAAACTTAGAAAACCTCCCCAGAGCACATTTTGTGTTGTGGGATTTCCCGAGGCTGAAATCAACGTCCTTGAGGGGTATGCCGGGAGGTGGTTAAATTGCGTAGCTTGGTTTAAAAAGGAAAAAAAAAAAAATCATGCTGACAAAGTTGCCGATCAATTTGCAAAATGCTGACCACTCTTCCCAATTCGTCCTAACGGCATCAGTTGCCCACTTGCAGTCCTTCTTTCCCTATAGACCTGTTTTCCCTGAAGTCCCCGCGTTGTGGGAGGAAGCCACTTGCTTGGCCATGCTGGTCGACGACGTCTGTACTTTGGTGCTCTGCTCTGTGTAGCCAGCAGTATCTCCTCCTGTGTCCCCCCCCATGTCCCTGCTTCTGCAGAAACTTCTCTGTCTGGACTGCCTGGCCAGCAGCAGGTTCCAGGCCGCTGTTCTGTACTTCTTTGAAATGAGGTTGTAGAGGATCGGGTTGATGGACGCACTCAGATAGAAAAGTTGCAAAGCTACAATGTTAAAGTACTGAGAGAAGTTCATCATCCGAGAATCTTCTGTATTTATGTAAATGATCCTGCCCACGTGAAAAGGCAACCAGCAAACTACAAATGCCAGAACCACCACCACTGTAAAACAAGACACAGGCACCAGAGTTAGCTAAAGCATCCGAAAACAAATAAGCCCCCCTCCCCCCCGCCGAGAAACCATCCGAAATAATAAGTAACAGCAAACAAATTAAATAAACTTTTACCTAGCTGATTCCCACCCCAGGACAACTACCAGGCTGCAAACAGCATCGACATTTGCTTTAAAACTGCATATATGCGTTATCACGGCTGGACATAAACCAGAAGGAGAAATTTCTACTAACAAGCTGTTCTGGCAGTCTTCCTTCCAGCACAATTTTTTGTTTTGATATGGGCATGGTTCACTTTAGCCTGCAGGATAACTTAACATTAAGTTTTTGTTTGTTTGTTTGTTTTTTAATTTAGCTTAATGCGCTCTACCCCATGTTCTCAAAGGTACTATGAGTAATTCACATCTATGGCATCTAACAGAGACAGGCGGTTGGTTTCCCCATCCTGGATCAGCCCGGCTCACGGATCCAGCGGCTTAGCGGACCCAGGCATCCCACCAAATACCACACTCCTCGGGGGCGCCCTGGGGTTACCCAGAACTATCAGAGGACTGGAGATGGTTTTCTCTGGAGACGGGCAGGACCGGCAGGTGGAGGCTGGAGCAAAATGACACAAGGAACTGTAGCTAGAAGAGGCGTTGGGAGACGAGGGGAAGGGGACGCTGCCTGGACCGCGGGCTGGCGTGTTTGGAACAGAGGGGGCGCCACTTACGCAGGACGCGGACCGTCTGCCGGTGGCCCTTCTCGCGCCCGGAGGCGGCCGGGCCTCGCAGCGGGCCCCGGCTCCTCCACAGCTCCCGCCCGATGAGCCCGTAGAGGACGCTGAGGCACAGAAAGGGCAGGAAGAAGTAGGCGGTGGTGACCCACAGCATGACGCGCAGCGCGCCCATCTGAGACGGGCTCGGCCGGCACTCGCGACTGAACAGCGCCGCGGCGGCCGCGGCCTCCGCGGCCTCGGGCCCCGACGGCGGGGACGGCGGCGGCGGCGGCCAGGTGCGGGGCGAGGGGGTGAACGGCGCGCTGCCGTTAAGGTCTGGGACCGCGTCGATGCCGGGGTCTTGCTCGACGCCCACCAGAAAGAAGAAGGGCCCTGCGGAGAGCAGCGCCACGGCCCAGAGCGCCGCGATGAGTGCGCGGACGCGGCGCCGGGTGACCAGGACGCGGGCGCGGAGCGGGCGGCAGATGGCGAGGTAGCGCTCGACGCTGAGCGCCGTCATGTGCAGCAGCGTGGCGTAGGTGCAGCCCTCGCCCACGTAGAGCGAGAGGCGGCAGAGCAGCTGCCCGAACACCCAGGGCCGCGAGCGCCAGAGGCGGTACAGGTCGAAGGGGAGCCCGAGCAGGATGAGCAGGTCGGACACGGCCATGCTGCCCAGGTACAGGTTGGTGGTGGTCCGCATGTCCCGGTAGCGCCCGATCAGCAGCACCGTCACCACGTTGCCGCTCACCCCGACGGCGAACAGACCGAGGCACACGGCGGTCACCGGCACCAGCGCCCCCAGGGGGAAGGGCGAGCAGAGACGCTCGTCACAGGGCAGCGGGGCGCCCTCCGCGCCGTCGCTGCGGTTCCAGGGGCTGCCCATGGACGCACCGCGCCGGGCGGCCGCGAGGACACACGCTCGGCGCCCGGCCGCGCCGCCGCGCCCCCGGCTGGCCCCGGGGGCCGAGCGCAGGGCCCGGCTGGCGACGCGCTTCCTCGGGCAGCCCGCGCGCAGCGGCTCACCGGCCCTCGTCCGCACCGCCCGAGCTCTGCGGCGCCGCGCGCGAGGACGCGAGTCTGCAGGGTCGGCTTTGAGGCCCTCCCACGCGGGCGGCGCGCAGTCTCCGCCCCCGGCCTCCGCCCGCCACAGGCCCGCCCCACGCCCGCGCCACTCCCGCGCCACTCCCGCGCCCTCTCCTCGGCCCGTCGCGTGCCAGGGAGCTTCCCTCCCCGCAAACTGGAACGCGGGAGGCGGCCGCGGCGCACGAGTCCTGCCCCGTCCAGGGCAGCGGTTGCCGAACCCCGGTGAGGTGGGTTGCTGACCCCAGCGGAGCGCGGGCGCTCCGGCCGCTCGAGTACAGAGGGGGACCTTCTCAGGGACCTCGGCTGGTGGCTGTGTCCAGGCGCTTAGGAAAGCCTGCCTCCGTACAAACAGGAGAGGAGTTTAGACCCCGGGTTCTAGTTATGACTCTACAACCAAGTGATCTTAGACCAGTCCCAGCCTCGCCCAGCCCAGGTCTCCTCTTCTGTAAGTTTTCGAGCAGGAGTGGAGGGACTTGAGCAGATAATTTCAGCCATCCCTTAAAACCCTGAAATCGGTGGGCATGACCATGTCTACTGGTTTTAAAGAACAAGGGTGAAGTATGCACGTGTGTATTTGCGGGCTTACGTGTGCTGCATTGTTCCTATGTACAAAATATTTTATGAACAAAAAAGCAGAGTATTTGCCAACGCTAGGAAGAACTAAAATTCTGGGGAAAAGACTAAAACTGATTTATGAGCCAGTTCATTGCGGTCTTAATGACAATAGATGACCCTTACTGAGTGCTTAGGGCCTGTTTGGCCCTTTGCTTTCCATTTAATACTCATGTCCTTGGGAGCTCATTTTACCCCTGAGCAAAGTGGGACTCGCTTGTGATTTTGTCTCCTGATAAAATGCACACCACACACACAGGAGTCTTGCAATGCCTCGGTCTCCCTGTGGATGAGCTGGTCCTCCAGGGCATCTCAGGCATCGACTCCTGCCGGCGTCCGTCACACAGTATCATTGCCAGGACCTGCCAGCCCTCCTGCATCTCAGCCTCAGTCATCCCCTTTCTGACCTCGACCCCTGGCTTTCTAGCTCACTTTCTCTAATGCCTCAACTCCTGCAATCCTCCACCCACCCTGGGACCTCCACTTTTTCTCTCTCCCTCCCTCTACCCCCAAACAAAGAAAATGCAATTTCGTCATCTATTGTTGATCTGATTTTCCCTTGAGCGTTCACTGGCTGGGGAGCAAGAGGAAATTAGCCTGAATAAAGCCTAGTCCAGTTGGAAGAATGGAACCGTGCCTCTGTGTGGTGTTCCGTTCTGGATAGCATGCTTATCCCACAACCTCCTCTTCCTTCCCCGCTTTTCCCTAGGGGAGCCCAGGTGTTTGGGAGGAGAGGTCAGGGAGCTTGAAGGTCCTTATGAAATAAAACGGAGGGGGTCACCTAGCTTCGTGTGGGATCTTGGGGGCCCAGGGTTGGCATTTGCCACATTCCAGTTCGGTGCCCCCTTCTTGCCTGGCCACCAGGTGCTCTGCTAACCCCAGAGGAGAGGTCTGTGGTTAGTGAACTTGTGGTCCCTTTTTTTGACTCAAGGGATGCTCGCTGGAGTACCTGACACCTTCCCCTTGGCTCTCACGGCTGCAGTCCCTGAGGTTCTTCCCTTTTCTCCATTCTGCCCCAGAGCTTGGTCTACCCAACGTCTGCTGAAGGCTCCTTGCTCTTTCCCCACCCACCATGGCGGCCCGCGCCATGCAGGCTCACAAGGGTTACTACACCATCTCCTACTATTCTGTATACTCGTCCTCCATTCACACGCTCCTCTTCTTTGTTGTATTCTCTCTACACTGCTTGTTACCAACTGCTCTACTATTTAATCTACTTAACTCTTTGTTTGTTATCTGCCCTGCCCCTTCCCCTACCGACATCCTGTGGTCCAGAAGGCTGGGCTGTGATCTGTTGTGTGCTGTGCTCTTTCCCTAGTGTCTGGATCAGTACCTGGCACAAAGTGAGAATTTAATAAATATTTGTTAACGCAGGGAACGGATAAGCTTCTGCAGAACCAGGTACCATTATTTTCTTTACAATTCCCAGTGACTGAGAACAGTACTTTGATTATAGTGGGTGTTCAGCAAGTGTTTGTTGATATTCAGGTTCCAGATAGGATACTGATATGGAGAGATGGGTTCGCCCCAGGCTTTTTCTACATCATGATGCTGCAACTCAAGCAGGACTTGGTCTGTCAGGCAGATCTGAATCCTTATTATAATGGCTTGGCGGTCCGTGTTTTAGGAAGAAATGGGATGAGCTATCTGGAGAATGACTAAATCTGCTTTCTACTTTGTATTTCTAAGGTTATCCACCAGCTTACTGACTTCATACTTCATCTGATGGGAGGAAGAGGACGTCGTCAGGGGTGTGGACACCTCTCCCCTCTCCCTTATGGGTGTGTCTGCGCCTGGTACTTGTGTGGGGTGAGAGCGAGGCCAGGTCTGGCCCTGCTATGGCTCTATGTCCCTGGAAGCAAGAGATTGGTATCATCGATAGGCCCTTGGCCCTTGGCTGGAGGACTCATAGGTTGGCTTTTTGGCGGGCTGGGATGTCCTGACTAAAAATAAAGCTAACGCTGGTAGTGTGCAAGGTGCTGTTCCAAGTATTTGCATATTTTAACTCATTTACTCTTCAATAACTGCATTATGAGGTGGGTCTTTTCAGTACACCCGTTTGGGTGTATTTTATTTTATTTTATTTTTTTTAAGATTTTATTTATTTATTTTTTGAGAGAGAGAGAATGAGACACAGAGAGCATGAGAGGGAAGAGGGTCAGAGGGAGAAGCAGACTCCCCGCTGAGCAGGGAGCCCGATGTGGGACTCGATCCCGCGACTCCAGGATCATGACCTGAGCCGAAGGCAGTCGCTTAACCGACTGAGGCCACCCAGGCGCCCCATTTTATTTTATTTTTAAAAGATTTTATCTTTAGGTAATCTCTACACCCAACGTGGTGTACTTACAGCCCCGTGATCAAGAGTCTCATGCTCCACCAACTGAGCCCGCCATGCGCCCCTCAGTATGTCCCTTTTCCAGAGGAAAACAAAGCACAGAGAAGCTATCTCTGTAAGCGGAGTTACTGTTTCTCACGTCCGGGGGCCACGACCACTGTGCCCTATACACACCACAGCACTACCAGCCTTGGGAGTGGTTGGCATGTTCTGGATTCTGCTAGGAAAGTGTCTTTTAGCTCATATTCCAGATATGAACTGGACAAATGGAAGGATACTGAAAGTTTTAAGGAGCATTGGGATACATCCATAACTTGCAATTTACCTGTTGACATTTGTAGAAACTCCACAGGTTTAATACTCGCTTCTCCACCGAAGAGCAGGACGGGAGGCAGAGGTTGAAAGCTGAATGCACACAGCAATTGACCCACGTTTCATAACGTTTTGCGTCAACATTATATAGTTGGGAAATTTCCCATGACGTTCCAGCTTTTCAGTTTGTCTTGCAAAATGGTAAGATCTGGCAGCTCTGGGCCCACATTCCCCAAAGGTGGTGGCAATCCAGGCTGAGCAGGGGCTGCTGTGTTTAGACAGACACCCACTCAGTGGGCACTCCACAGCCTTCATCCCTCACATGGTGGCTCTGTGGGCCCCACACCCAGCGCCTTCTTCACTTAAAGACCTGCTGGCTCCTATAGACCCCAGGTGCCAGGAAATGGCACCTTATTTAATAAAATACAGAGATGGCAGAGCTCCGCCCTGGGAGGGGTACGAACCCCTGGCAGAAAAGGCTGAGGGCTGGCTCTGGCTGGCCCTCATCTCCAGAACCTGACCACTACCTTGACCCCGGGCCTCAGGCTTTCCCAGATTTCTCTCTGCACAGCAGGGACATAGCAGGGCACATTCAGGCAAGACTCTGTGGGCTGCAGAGATTCCGGATATGCTGTGATTGTTGCCGAAGCAATTTTCTCTTGGTCCTAGTTTCTCCTAAGAGAGACAGGCTCCCCCTGGCAATGATTATCAAGGGTGTTGGTGGAGAGAGAGCAAGTTCCTGGGAAGGGTGGTCAGGAAAAGGGTGTAGGACCTGGGGAAATCCCTCCTGGAGATTCCGGTACCCCTTTCCCAGCCCCAGTGGATAGTCCCTGGTCAAGAATGACTGTCCCAGCTCCCATGGTCACCCTGGGCCCAGTTGGGCTCCCCCGGCCATGCTCTCTCTGCTATGCTGTGGTCGCTGGCGTCTTCTGCACCATCAGCCACAAGAGCGCACTTAGAGAGCATGCAGTGAGCCCTCTCTGTTAGTTCTTCTTAATCATGATAATAACATAAAAAAGAGGCTATCTTTGGGTCCAAACGAGCCCCCTATCTACTTCTTTCTTTGGTCAACTCTTATGCCTTCTGGCACCCATACCTGTGCCCCTGCTCTTAGCTCTCTTTCCATTGCTTTCTGTCGAAAGCCCAATCCACTTGCCTTTCAAGAGCACTCAATGTTAGTTTCTAGGTCAAGTTTCCCAAGGCCCTCAGTGTGATGCGAGTGTTGTCTCTGATGCCCTCAGGGCTCTCGTTAGCTCCCTGGTACCCCTGACAGATCGGGTTGAGGCATGGGTGAGCTGACTCTTGCCTCTCATCTTCACCTCCCTGGAGAACTATCCCCCCCCCCCCGCCCCCGTTCCAGCCTCTTGCGTCTGTGCAGGTGGCTGGGGCTGGGCCCGTTGCAAACAAGCCAGGTGCGCAGGTGCAGCGCGTGGGCAGCGCAGGGCAGGGGCTGCTGCCTGAGCCAACAGCCTCCAAAGACCAGTGCCCCCTAACACCTCACACATTTGTTTCTTGTTCCCCTAGAGCCTGCCTCGAGTGTGGGGGACACTCTAGGGGGCTTATCTCCATTTGGTGGCTCACTGTTCTAGGCATATGACATCTCCATAAGAGCAGGTGCCCCCTTCATCTCTAAGGCAGGGGAAGAGAGCAAATTAAATGCTCCTGCCTGGAAGTGACTGTACCAGCTTCAAGCTGCAAGTCTCTGGGCTCCAAAGCCCCCCTCCTGGGATTCTGCACATACTCATCTCCTTGGCCCACCCACTCCCTGTTGGGCTTGTCAGCAGGAGTGCTGGAGGGCAGGGCAGCGAAGAAGACACTTGCGCCTTCCTGTTCGTGCCCCTTTCACCGCCATCCCGCGAGGGCCCCGTGCCCTCCCAGCAGCACTGGCTTCAGCCTCCAGCTCCTCTGGGCACAAACAGAAGGCCC